TTGCACCCGCCCACTACCTGCCATATTTACATTCAGCTGCCCTCTGCGGAATCTTGCCAGTGACAGCTGTCATTCCCTGTCTGAAGCTATTCAAGCGCCACGTGCTTATAATACAATTATTTTTAAAAAGATTGGGGAAAAACTAATTTTTGGTTTCTGCCTGACAAACTCTGCTGCGGGAGGTGCGTTGCAGTGCAATTCATTTCAATGGCACACCAAACGCGCCTCCCACACACAGAGTGATCGCCCGCACTGCAATGCACAGTAACACAATGCCGTGCATTCCAGTGCAGTGCGATTGCAAAAAAAAATTGTGCCTGCAGTTTTATTCTGAAGTAAACTTTAGGTTGGTAACACTGCATTTGTGTATTTTATTTTAAATAAAAGGATGCTATTTCTTTTGTTGTTTTCTGATTACTTGAAAAAATAAATAAATAATAAAATCAGCCAACTAATCAATTATGAAAATACTCATTAGTTGCAGGCCTACTACTTCTTGAGAAAGTGATCCTTCAATGTGAATCAACTATGCTCTGTTAATTCACATTAAAAGAACCCCTTTCACAAGTTGTAATGTAGTTTGATAAGTTTGTCCCAACCACGGTCAGTACCACTTTAGCAATACCAAATTACATTATTATTATTTTGAATGGAGAAAAGCACCCTCCTATCAAGCTTCCTGCATGTGCCTAGGCAGAAATAACAGGGTGTCTGCCAAAAGCATTGCATATGCTTGTTAGGATCTGCAGAGACCATATCGTTTTTAGTCAGACAAACCCTGTCTGGCAGAGTTGCAGAAGGACAAAAGAATCTGCAAAAATGGGAACAAAAAAAAACCCATCAGGAGATAAGGAAAAGCACCCTGGTATGCAGAGTCTAAAGGGCTTATTCAAAGATCCCTTTGTGTCTGTGTATAAAGTATCTCACTGTTTACTTAAACCGTTCTAGAGATTAGGAGGTTGCTTTAGGTTTTAATACTGACCTGTTGCTTGACATGTACCCAAAGCCAAAGACAAAAAAGTTGCCACCTGGTTAAATACTCGCCATCTGCCCTGTTCCAGCGATAAAAGTAATTTACACTAAAAATCACCTTTAAAGTGACATTAAAGGAGAACTATGTATGGGGTCAGTGTTTTTCCCCATAGTTCTCTTAAGGGTCACGGGAAGACATTTACTAGTGTCCTCCCGTCACCCAAAGCTCAGTATTTTGCAAGCTACAGCTTACGGTATACCGAGACCGCCGCAGCAAGGACGGATCCTGGCAATGCTGTCGAGATCCTCCCAGCTGCGTGATTGACAACTGGCTCTGCCTATCTAGAGGCAGAGCCAGCTATACCTGCCCCCTCCCCATTCGTTCCTCCTGTCAGCGCTGGAGGATCGGATCGGAGGGGGGGGGGGGCGGGGACAGCTGGCTCTGCCT